GTGCTTTTTACTCATATCCTGATGTTTACACTGACATGCATAAGAGGGAACTTCACCAAACACGCCTAGGCTGCCAAACAAGCAGCTGTCTCTCTACTAAAACAAAAGAAATTAAAAATAACCTAAAAAACAAGTTCTAAAGAAACGAGGAACAACTCAGTGAACAATATGAAAGCAGAAGTTTCTCTCTCTCTCTCTCTCTCTCCTTGCTCTCTATCACATTTCACAAGCTGCTGTTATTAATAAAAACAATAATAAGAACGAAACCTCTGCTGTGCCCTGTGTTCATAGTCTACACTTAAATATAGAGGAGCACGATATAACAAGAAGAATAATGGACTGGCTGTTCTTGGTAAAAGATGCATGTGTACCTTTGGTTTTGTATGGTGACCGTTTCTCTTGTTTCACTTCCTTCTACATACAATGACAATCTGTTCTTTTATGGTGAAACACAACACTTAACCTCTATTTATGATAACATTTCAAAACCACTGAGTAACACGGGCATCATAAATGTCTGTGAATGTGTTTCAAGGTTTGATGAAATCTGTTATTAAGATGTATTAAATGAAACATGTCTGGCTTTATTATACACTCTGTTTTATGCCATCCCCATTAAACTTGCTTCCGCGTGCAAATAAACACATTTTAGTTGTCAGTGTAATTTAGCTTTAAATATTACAACTGTCAATGAAACGGCATTATTAGTTGGAAAATAAAATTACATGATTAGTTTGGGGCTGTTAAATTAAATTTAAATTAAACTTTTCTCTTTTCTTTCTCTGCAGTTAAATTCTGGTCACATCCTGTCTGGTCTGAGTTCATACATACTTATCTGAAGCTGATCAGTATTGACAAGCAATGAAATTTATTGGCAACTGCTTTTAGCAGTTAACACAAAAACATTCTGAAGTAGCCACATCCTGCTTGGTCTAAATTTATATGTTTTGATCTGAAGGTTTCTCGCCAACAGGAAACCTGGTCAGTGTAGGTTGGGTCTGTTTGCATCACAGTAAAGCAGAAGAGCTGCCTGCGGAGTTGACAGATGCTGAATAGAGAAAAAACATGCAAGCTGTGTTTGTACTGTTCGTGATGCTATTAGGAGTCTCTTATGGTGAGCTGTGTTTACTTATTCAAAGCATGCAGCTGCTGTGGTAATAAGTACAGCCACTGAAAGATTTTGATGCCGTTTTTAGTGTTACAGTAAGTTCTGCAGCTTACAGGTTGGTGGCATTGTGTTGATGCTACTGGGAGTATCTGAGGATGAGCTGTTCTGCTTTTTCATTTCATGCGGCACTTTATTGATACATATTTATCCCCAGACCTGGTGTCACTTGACCTTTGGGTCTAAAAAGTATAATTACAGTCAAATTATCTTGTTTTTATTCCAAACAAATGCTTAATATTTTAGATAACACATTTTTATATTTCAAAGGTTATGACTGTAATTTTAACTCGTCTATCTTTTAGCGAAAGTGGAATCAGATCATCGCTTCATATAAAGTCATCTGACCAGTGGCACCTGTTTGTACGAAATTGTATTTGAGCACTGGTTTTTTATAATATACTAGTTTTTAAAACAACAACTACAATATGAATAAAAACAATTTATCAATTTAATTGGTAAAATTATCTCAAACTTTGGGCCTCTTGAAAGTATAAAAAGGGATCAGATACACATTTTGTCACAGCCCGTATAATTTAATGTCATTCCACAGTTAAGATGGGCGAAAATAATTATTTTTATGTTAATAAATGTCAAATATTAGCTACAATACTTTTTTGCTAATGATTATTTACCACTAGAGTGCACATTTATGAAAAAAGAAATTCTGTGATTTAAATCCTTCAGCAGTAGTTTTGAATCTGGATTAGTGTTTATAAGCATTTATTGCAAAAGCAATCAGAGATTTTGAAGTTTTGTTCAATTAAACTTTAAATGATATGAATGCTAAATGACCCCATGGCACCATTTAAGATTCAACTAAAGCAATATTTAATTCCAACAGTACTGTAGTTTGTATAAATTCTTCTGTGATCAGCATTTTTAAATATAACATTAACCAGTGCAGTGCAAAGAATGTTCAAACCATTATTGCTCAACATGCTGAACTATCTGTTTGAAAGCGTCTTACTTTCATTTTGTACTCTTTTTAGAGATGAAACATGTGCTATCATTAATTTTGTGTCTATTTTTTAATCTAAACATATGTCTGAAATGTATCATTTCATTTTAAGGAATTTAACTTGTTACTCTCATATATGAAATCTCTTTTTCATGAAGGCTAAAGGAGGAAGAAAAACTAATGTCAATTCATTTTCCTACTCCCAGCATGTGAGAAGTTATCTACCACTTCACTAAAACCTAAAGCCAACTTTTTCATGATTTCTCCTTTCAGGCTGAGCACTAACAGTCTGTTAACTGCAGTCTGTTAACATCAATAACATAACAGATTTGCTTATTTGAGAGAAAAGATTTGAAAGCTGCTGATTGAGTCAACATAGACTGAACAGCTGACATGGAAGCTGCAGTTGGACTGTTGCTGATGTTTGGAGTAGCTCATGGTGAGCAACCAATTCTTTTTTTCATGCGAGGTTTCAAAGATACTTATTTCATACTTAATTTCAGTACAATCAGAATTAGGTCTGAAAAAAAGTTACTTCTTAGTTTTGTCATGCTCCTTCATTCTGATGTTGCCGTCTCCTATCTGGATTTTAAGATTGCTTCATGTATCACAACCGCAGATCAGTGGTTATGTCTGAGTGGTTAATGGTTGGCTGTCTGTCTATGTGGAACTCAAAGTTCCACATGACCTTAGTTAGCACTGTTGTTCTCAACCACCTTCAGTGGGGTCTCCTATTGGGATTTGGGAATCATATGCAGCACAAATGTTCTTGTAGTTGGTTGTGCAAGTCAGTGTGTGCTGTCCCAGCCCTGTTACTGTATGCTGCTCTGTCTCTGAGCCCTGTTAGATGTGAGTCCTTCCTCTAAATTCTAGTGCTTAAGCCCTGTTCTTTTTCTTCCCTCTATCTGTCGATGACATATCTGCAGGGGGTCAGTCATACATAATGGTCCCACTTCCTGGTCCTTATCACTGTCTGTCTTCAGCTGTTTTGGAGCAACTCACCTCAGGGAGTCATTTTTTATTTCAACAGCAGCTTCCACATCTGTTCACAGAGTCTCAGACCTTTGAGTGGAAATTGAGGAAATCAGAGGAAGGATGTTGAGTGGCATTGTGAGGAGTTTTCATGTCTCCTCTTGTGGCCAGTTTGTTATTCCAGCTTGGTATCTGATGACGTGAAGACATATTTATTGATGGCTCACATTTTTTTTAGCACCTTTCATACTTTCTGGAGGTATTTGACTGTGTCTGACTTTATTGTGTCTTTATCATGTAGCTCTCGTTAATCTGTTGGATACCCAAGCACTTCTTCTGTGTGTCCTGTATGTCCTTATGGCAACTCCACCCCATCAGTCTCTCTTTACAAACTTTTTGACACATTTATAAAGAATGACATCCTAGTGTCCTCATTGTAAATCCTGGTGAGGTGGATCAGTGAGTCAGTGTTTCAGACACTCCTGGCATACAGCATAATGTCATCGATGGACAGGACGTGGCTGATGGTCACTCCACTCTGATCTTTGTGATGTGGACAGTGCATCAAGTGTGGGATATTCCACATTTGATGGTGACTTTTGTGATTGCCTTTGAGTTGGCCTACAATTTTGTCCCTCCTGAGTTCTTAGAAAATGTCATTAGTCCAATATTAGCCTTGTATAAAGCCAAGCACACATAAATCCAGAAGCATTGAGTTGTAAGCATCCTCAGGTTGGTCTGCCTGGTCTTATAGTTCTGGTGTACTGGTCTATTAACCATTACTTTGTGCTTTGATCTCCTTTTGTTACCACTTCTGATATCCTCTCTGAAACATGGCTTACATTTGTTAAATAATTCAATTCAATTCAATTCAATTTTATTTATATAGCTCCAAATCACAACAAAAGTCGCCTCAAGGCAAATAGTGTTCAGTAAAGAGGAGACAAGAAAGCAGGGCACACAGCAAAAGCCCTCTGGCTAGAACTCAGGCCACTACATCAGGCATGTGGACATCTGTTCATCAACTGAGCAAAACTAACAACTATGACAACTTTATTTTTGTTTTGCAGGTGTGGAAACTTACTGTGATGGCAGACGGGATGGAGCTCAGTGTTATGGAGCTTTGGGAGGAAGTGTGGACATCCAGCTGATGGACAACACTTCAGATATTAATAGATACCAATTATTAAAGAGTTCATTAAAAATATTAGATGTGAGAAATAATACGGTTATTTCTAATACCATAAGAGAGAGAGCTCATTTTCCAAGTAATGGAACATTTAGAATCAATAAACTGAACAGGACAGACAGTGGTAATTATAGCCTTCAAACCTTTGATTCAGATGGAAAATCATCAGGCGAGCGGATTTTACAGTTGTTTATTCAAGGTAAATGTTGTGAAATTAAGCCATTAATAGATGTAAATAAATTATTGTTGTGGTAATCTATACAATAATCTATACAATATATCTCACAACATTTCCCTGTATTCTATGCTTTCCCTATTCTTTATTAGAGGCTCTAAAGAATTAGGGAGATTCTGATTTAAAATCTAAACTCATCTGTGTGTGTTTCTCTCAGCTCCTGTGTCCTCTGTCCTGCTGGTCTCAGAGTGTCTGTCCCAGGGAGAGATGAGGGTGTCCTGCTCCTCTGAGGGAGGGGACAGTCCTCAGTACAGCTGGACTCTGGATGGACGCACACTGACAGATGCTGAGCTCCTTTCTGGAAATAATGAGACTAACAACATCACTCTGAAACAGCACGTCTCAGGACGTCTGGTCTGCTCAGTCAGGAACAACGTCAGTAATGTCTCCAAAGAGGAGAGAATATCTACCTGTGGTGAGTGAGAACATTGTGATAATCACAAATATGATCATTTTGGTCACTCAGTCTTTCATTAATTATACGTTTTTGCTCTCAGGCTTCATTTTCATTAACTGCTCTTCAGTCAATGGGACACAGATATCACGGTGGGTGTATGAAGCCAATAACACCCTGTGTATTAAACCAACAACAGTCCCCAAACAAACTGCTACATCTAAGGAGACCGCCGTAGTGTCTAATAAAAACCCCACTAAGATCAAACCCTTCAATCAAACTGTCAGCAGTGATAACCCATGGTACATAAGTAAGTGAAAATAACTTTCCTACAGTAGACTGACTATTGCCAGTTTCTCATTATTTCTTTCTTTGTCTTCATAAAAACTCAGACTTGCTGACTTGTTTTTGTCTTATTCTGTCCTTTTTTCAAACAGCCTATTTACCACTGATCGGTGGTGTTCTCTCAGCACTGCTCATTTTGTTAGTTGTGGGTGTAGCAGGTGCCTGTGAACACATCATAAAGCAAAAAACCAAACCTACAGAACAAAGAGGTACCAAACTTTTCATTTCCCCACTCCACTTTGATTAATTAAATATATATATATATATATATTTTTTTTTTTTAATTAATTAACCTTTTTGCTGTCTTGCCAAGAGTACCTCTGTCATATGTCATGTCATATGTCAAATTTGTTGGTATGGCTAATCAGCTAGTTTTAACACAACAAATAAAAACATGGGGAAACAGCTCCAAAAACCCTCCAACCCTAGAGTTCACCAATGAAACATTTTGAATTAGTTTTAAAGTGCACCAGTTAGAATCACACACACTGACTTCAACCTTTGTGCTAAAACTAATCAACTGTTCCTGCAGCAGACATGAGAGTGAAAGCTCTTCTTTAAGTCAAACCATTCCTGTACTAATACACTGACTGTAACATTATGTTTGCTCCACCTCTTCCTACTAATTTGCAGCTGAAGAAGATGACCAGGAAGTAACCTATGCTGATGTCATTATCACAAAATGTCAGAGGAAGGATGCTGAGCAAAGAGCAGAGGCGGAGGTGGAGTATGGCCAAATCAAGTTTTCAAGCAACAGGAGATGATTTAAGTGGTTGGAGCTTTTACACCGACTGCACCACTGACGGCAGACTGAAGGAGGAGGTGACATCAAGATGCCAAAAGGTTGTTGCTTCATGTAAGTCTGTGGCTGAAACACAGTTAATGTTCCAGCTAACAGCACATAAAGAGCAAAACAAATATGACTGAATTCTATTCAGACACTTTAGCTTCCTGTGACACCTTCATGGGCTACTTTGTCCCTACTTTAATAATAACAACAACAGCAACACCAACAACAACAATAATATTATTAATAATCTTTGGCCTGTCTTTAGATTTATATCTGGGGATCAGCCCCCTCTTCTGTATGTGTCTTAATAAATCTGGATAAATGTGAAGCAAGCATTGTATATAATAATATTGGAAGAGAAGAAAGAAAAAGTCCTAATGACATTGTTCTGGTGGACTAATGCAGAAAGCCTTCATTTGTTTTTCCTCTTCTGTTCTCAACCACTCATTGAGATCAGTGTAGATATGTGTACCTGTTTAGTTTAAAAGCTTTCAGATTTTAATGTGCTGAAAAAAAAAAAAAGTTAAAAAAAAAAAAAAATTTTTTTTGCAAATGATGTGGAAAAAAGTCTGTGGTGAGATTTAATAAAACTGTATTTTACTGTGAAAATGTACTGTTTTAAAAAACTGCTAACAAAACATTTCATCACACTCCTGATAACCTAATTAATAACATATTTATTTCATTAGTAAAATTATATATTTCCTAAATTATGTTGGTTTAATATAATCTTTTTATACAAACCTGCATAATCTGATCTTTCTCCTCTTCTGATACTGATATTTGATAACGTCCCTGCCGCCAGTTTACTGCCAAGAAAGAAGTGGTTACAAATTCTGTCTAACAAACACAATTTTAACCTTACCACTGTGCTCCACACTCGTGTCCAGGTGTCCCTGTTGCTTGACAGTCAGGTTTTTAAATGGTCATATTTGACTTTAATGTTTGAATCCAGATTTTAAAT